TAGTAACCTACAAACATGTCTAGCTGTAGGATTTCAATATGTAGTACATAATGTTTTTTATGTAAGAAAAGCCACATCATCCAAGACAATTCCTTCACAAGTGGATTAGTCTCTTACAGCTTTCTGAAGACAGAAGATCAAAACTGTAAACTCTCGAGTCAAAAGGAAACTGCAATGTTCTCTCCCACGAAGCTTATCACTTGCCTGTGTCAAGCAGGGTTGTTATCTAGTCCTACACAACTTTTTTTCTTCACTTATGATATCTGATGACTTGAAAAACAGAGTACATATTTCTGGTTTTCATGGCATCTACTGGAAATATTTCTCAAAACGTTATTGTTTATGCTTCAATTGTAGCTATATAGCAAAAAATGGTAAAAACTAATTTTTCGAGATATTTACATTCAGCTTTCTTGCACAGTGTTTAATGCACTCTTAAGATACTTCACATATTAATATAAGAAATTATGCAGGGATACATTGTCAATTCTGAAAATGTTCTTTTATTATGAAAGTACCCTACTGTATTTTACCACTAATAGTTGATCTGGAATCTGCAATTTTTTTTTCTTGCACTAGATCTCTTTTGATCCTGGATGACATTTGGGATTCCTGGGTATTAAAAGCATTTGATAATCAATGTCAGGTTCTTATCACCAGCAGGGACAGGAGCGTAACAGATGCTGTGGCTGGTAAGGAACAGGTTCCTCTCCTGCACCACGATTGTGTGTGCATGTGTACGCAATTTGTTCTGGTGAACTTTTAATTTGTTCTGGTGAACTTTTAATTTGTTCTGGTGAACTTTTAATTTGTTCTGGTGAACTTTTAAAAGTATCTGATAGAGTCTAGGACTATGAACTTGTGCACAAGTGGCAAAGTTTTAGAATTCTGCTTTGTAAGACTTTATACTCTTCATGAAATAAATGTTATATGTTATCCCGAAAGTTATGTGTCTGCATTGAAGAGCACAATGTTTCTCAACAGGATAAGTTAACCTCTGTGACACTGCTGCTGTTAGTTTGATTATCTCTATGCTATTAAGCAGTCACTGCTACGACATGCCCATAATGCGTGTGTAATTATTAGATTATAGTCTAATTTTTTTGTGTCTCTATTTCAAACTTAATTTTGGTAAGTAGAACTTATACTTTTCTTAGTACTAAGCATATAAACTACTATGCAAAAAATCACGAGCCAGGTCCTTTGCTCCAGATTTTGCTTGGAAAATACTCTCAGTTTGCATAGGATATCTAACACTCTTTTAATTATTTTCCGTGTTTCTGTGTCTAGGCAATAAATATGAGGTTCATGTGGAAAGTGGACTAGCACATGAGAAAGGACTGGAGATTTTATCTCTATTTGTGAATATGAAAATATCAGAACTGCCAGAACAAGCTAACTGCCTTGTAAGGGAATGCAAAGGTATACTTGCTACTCTTTAACATACCATTTACCACTGAGTATCTTCTTCTCTTCTAGGTTTTGACTTAGAAAAAGAGGATGTATATCTTTTTCCCTTCTAGGTTTTGACTTAGAAAAAGAGGATGTATGCTTTAAGTGCTTGTTAAATTGTTTTTGGTTTTTGTTTTCTTTTCTTTTTAAAACTAAATAGAAGTGTCTCTTGTTGATTTTTTTTTTTTTTGAGTAGTTTTCTTCAGTAGATCTTCCCCCCTGCCCCCCTATTACACTTAAATCTGGTGAGTTTGCAGATGTCTGCATGGATGACATGTTTTGTTTGTCTGTTCTCCCCACCTCAAGAATTTAATAAATGTATTGGGAAAATTACCTGATTTATTCAGCCACTTAACTAAACTGTTGGACTGCATTCCTTATTCTAAGATTAATCTTTTCCTTTAGGTTCTCCTCTTGTGATATCCTTGATAGGTGCATTATTACGAGACTTCCCCAGTCGTTGGGAATACTATCTTAAACAGCTGCAGAATAAACAGTTTAAAAGAATAAGAAAATCATCGTCTTATGATTACGAAGCCCTTGATGAAGCGATGTCCATAAGTGTTGAGCAACTGAATGACAATTATAAAGACTACTATAAAGACCTCTCTATCCTCCCAAAAGATGTTAAAGTCCCTACTAAGGTAATAACAGCACTGCAGAAATCTCATAATTTTTAGTGAGATAAAAACAATAACTTTAAAGAATTCATAAAATTTGTAATTGTTATGTATAACATGCTGTATGTAACTTAATAGTAATCGCTAGATTGGGTGGATCGGGTCCATTATTGTATCATGACTTTTATCGACAGTAGTGAAACTAAAAAATTGTAACTGAATAAATGTATTCATAATGTTTTGGTTTAATGTGCGTTGTGTATATAGCTCTTCAATTAGATTGTAATTGAGCTCTCTGAAGGCTTAAAAAATGTTATGTGAAATTTGTCCCCTTTAAGAAAAAGATATGATTACTGTAAATCAGCATAGATAGACAAAGGATGGGATAACTTGTGTTATCTGTCCCATAGTTTGGTGTGGAAGAATGGGTAACTTAGTGAATTTATTACCATTTGTAATATGTCTGTATTTGTTAGCATGTGTTTTGTTATCAGTTAATTGGTAGCCTTTTGCGATATTCATACAAGTCACATTACCCCTTAGTTCTGATTCTGTTCTGTCTTAATGTGCTTTTTAGGTTCTCTGTATTCTTTGGGATATGGAAACTGAAGAAGTTGAAGATATACTACAGGAGTTTGTTAACAAATCACTGTTGTTCTGTGATCGTAATGGGAAGTCATTCCATTATTATTTACATGATCTTCAACTTGACTTTCTTACAGAGAAGAATCGCAACCAGCTTCAGGTAGGGTATTGACTAATCTGCTTTGCTTTTAACTTCACTCTGCAAAGCTGGGTATTCTTCAGAAAATGTTGCTTTATTAAATGGTATCCAGAGTAGCTTCAACCAGAGTACCTTCAGAATAGGTCCACAAAAAACTTAATGCTGACTAATTAAAACCACTTATTTTTAACTTGAAGCTGTGGAGTGATTTCATGATGGTTCCATCTGGACCTAAGAAACTAAACTGAGTAAAGATTCTATATCCGTTATTTCTCTGTCAAAGATGTTTCCGGCAGGAGATGGAATGTTCCGCTGATGATTCCAAAGGCATCAAAACCCTACAGAACAGGAGGTTTCCTCCTTAATAAAGAGAAGTGCTTTTTACTGCTTTTGTTCAATTTAAGCCAATACTTGCAGGGAGAAAGGACTCATAAGCTGGGCCCAATAAATTTATCAATTCTGAAGGATAGGGCAGAAAGCGTAGATAGGAAGAAAAGGTAAATTTTTAGACTTGCTTTAGATCTACGTATGTAAGTGTCTTTTTTTGTTGGCTACCCGTGTTTAATGTGAATATTGATTTGAGAGCTGTTCTCAACCTAAGAAGGAAGGTTAACAGCTTGCTTTTCTGTCTTTTAATATCCAGTTAATTTTTCTGGAGAAGTCTTAAGCAATAAATTAGGTTAATTGTACAGTTTTGGAAGGTAAGCTTTTCTTACTTTATTTGTTGACGTATAATGATTGAGAAATAATAATAATAATAATGTTATTCCTCAATACTGTATACAATATAATCTTAATAATAATTCCTCAATACTGAACCCAATCCATACCTTGGTGGTGTATTAACTGAAAGTGTGTTTTGATTCACGTTGCAGGAACTACATAAAAACATAGTAAACCAGTACAAGAAACATTACAAACTTAATACGCCTGTTCAGTCTCAAGAGGATTGCATGTACTGGTATAACTTTCTAGCGTATCACATGGCTGGTGCCAACATGCAGAAGGTGAGTTCTGGCAAGTGTCCTCTGTTTCCCTTCTTGACTCACCCTTATCCCTGCATTTCCCCCCAGGCTTTTAGCTGTTTGAACCTCTCTTCTCCCATGCTTTTGTGCAGATAGGTAAACTCTCAACATAGAGTCCTTTCGGGGCTCCACTGATTATCACTGTCTGTTACGAAAAGTACCCTTTGCGTCTTGTCTTTTTAACCAGTTCTTGAGAAGATTTCTTATTTTGTATCATAATAGCTTGTGTTTTCATTTCCTTTTTAGGAAACTTTCATAAGAAAAACTTCCAATTCTCTAAACTTTTTTGAAAACCCAGGCTCACTTTATTGTATGATAATACAAGTAAATTGATTTCTTCAGATAGTTTGATTATTCTTTTTTTTTTATAAAAGTCGTATTAGCCTCTTATGTCATACTGATTTGCGTGTAGAAGTTCATTCTCTATATTACCAGGTTGCAACAGCCACAAAAAATCCAGCAAGATTTAGATGGGCAAATCTCTTGTTCCCACGGTTGCCTTGGCACTGTTAAAAATTGCTGTCATTTTGCCACTTACTCTTCTTTAGGTCCTGAGCTAGTGTAAGACACAAATCATGCAGGAAGATTAATGCTTCAGTAGTTTCACTTGAATGTCTTCAGAATTCTTGTCTTGAACAGCATTTGGTCCTTGTTGCCAATTGCTTTTTCACATGTACTCAAACCTTTTAAGTTGAACCTTTTTTGAGATGGTTCAACTGACTCATCATATAAAATACGCTTTGTGTACTGATGTCTTACAGGAGCCTTCGTAAGTAATGTGGGCTGGAAATCTAGGTTTTTTGGTTCATACTTATTTTGTTGTCTCAGTCTCTTTAATTTCAGTGTATTGTAAAAATGTTTTTATTGTTAGCCTTTCTACATTTTGTAGAATTAGGTTTTCAGAGTTCTTTAGCCTATCTCGTTATGACTGTATGCTTCACAGAGTTTACACTCTTTATATTACTTATTTCTCATTATTTAGACATGATTTCTATTTGTTGAAAGGCTAATAAAGATGGGAGGTATTCTTTCTTTGTTCAACCATGATAATCTCTTAATCCTTGCACTATTTACTGGATTAAAATTTGAATATACTTGGAGCCTGTGCAGTGTTCTTTCTAAGCAGTTTTCTGATCCCAGTGAGTATGGTTTCTTAACAAGAAGGTCTTTTTAAGTACGTTTATAACAAGAGGTGGTCTAAAGAAAACATTGGACCGATACTTGTTGAAGATGGTCATCTGACTAACCGGGATAAAGAAAAAGTAGAAGCATTGACTATTTTTTTTTGCCTCAGTCTTTAATAATGCTAATAGACCTTGGGCTGCCAGGTCCCCTGAGTTGGAGGACCGTGAGTGTGGGAACAGTCTTTCCCTTTCCGGGTGCTGAAATTGTAAGGGACCAGCTGTATCAGCTGACAAGTCCATGGGGGCCTGGTGGGATTCATCCCAGACTACTGAAGGAACTAGCAGATGTTCTTAAAGGTCCTTTCCAACCAAAATGATTCTATGATTCTATGTTATGGCAGGACCCCTCTTGATCATCTACCAAAGGGCTTGGGAGTCTGGGGAGGCCCCTGCTAGCCAAAGTTATTCCAGTCCACAAAAAAAGGTGTGAGGGAAGACGCAGGGAACTACAGACCTGCTAGTCTAACCTCAGTTGCTGGAAAAATTACGGAGAAGATTATACTGAGTACTACTAAAAGGCATTTAAAGAATAATGCAATCATCAGGCACAGTCAGCATGGGTTCACAAAGGGAAAGTCCTGTGTTAAACCATTTGTTATCCTTTTGTGATAAAGTCACACACCCAGTAGATGAAGGTAAAGCAGTGGATGTAGTTTTTCTGGATTTTAATAAGGCTTTTGATACGTTCCCTCACAGCATCCTTCTGGACAAGTTGTCCAACTGTGAGATGAGCAGGTACATGGTGTGCTGGGTGAAGAACTGGCTGAAGGGCAGGGCTCAAAGGGTTGTAGTGGATGGGGCTGCGTCTGGCTGTCAACCCATCACCAGGGTTTAATTCTAGGGTGAGTCCTGTTCAATGTATTTATCAACGACCTGGATGCAAGAGTTGAATGCACCATTAGCAAGTTTGCTGATGATACCAAACTGGGAGGTGCTATTGACTCTTGAGGCCTAAGAGGCCTTGCAGAGGGATCTAGATAGATTGGAACACTGGGCAGTGATTAACGATATGAAATTTAACAAGTCCAAATGCCAGATTCTGCACCTAGGTTGGAGTACAAGTATAAGTGGGGAGAGGAATGGGTGGAGACCAGCCCTGCAGAAAGGGGTCTGGGGGTGCTGTTTGACAGCAGGCTCAGCATGAGTCAGCAGTGTGCCCTGGCAGCCCAGAGGGCAAACTGCATCCTGGGGTGCATCAAACACAGCATAACCAGCTGGTCAAAAGTGGTGATTATCCCGCTGTATTCAGCGTTGGTGCAGCCTCACCCGAGTGCCGTGTGCCGTTCTGGGCCCCACAATTTAACATTGATGTGGAGGTCCCTGAATGTGTCCAGAGGAGGCAACAAAGCTGGTGGCAGGGCTGGAAGGCATGTCTGTGGAGGAGTGGCTCAGGATTTTGGGCTTGTCTAGTTTGGAGCAAAGGAGGCTGAGGGGTGACCTCATTACTCTCTACAGCTTCCTGAGAAGGGGAAGTGGGGAGGGAGGTGCTGATCTCGTCTCCCTGGTATCCAGTGATAGGACACGTAGGAATGTCTCAAAGCTGTACCGGGGGAGGTTTAGATGAGACATTAGGAGGCATTTCTTTACTGAGAGGGTGGTCAAACACTGGAACAGGCTTCATAAGAGAGGTGGTCGATGCCCCAAGCCTGTCAATGTTTAAGAGGCATTTGGACAATGCCCTTAATAACATGCTTTAGCTTTTGGTCAGCCCTGAATTGGTCAGGCAGTTGGCCTAGATGATCAGTGTAGATCCTTTCCAACTGAAATATTCTATTCTGTTCTAATAATTCTATTTGCAGTTTCTGATTGGCTTTTAAGTAGCTTTCTTATTTTTAAGTTAAATGCAGCTATAACAGATTTATTGCATTCATTCAAATTTAGCATCTGTTAGGAAGAACAATAGATCACTGTTAGCAGAATGATCTTTGCTAGACTGGACTAGAAGAAGCTTTTTCAGAGTTGTATCTTAAACCATGTCTTGTGTGCTACAAAAGTCAAGATTTACTTTGTACTGCCATCCCTTCGCTGACTAGCTGTGTCAAAGAGCAGTCCTTTGCATGGTAGTAACAAGCTTAGCCTTCTACACCTGGGATTTTCATACCTGATTGAGTAAGATGCAGGAAACAGGAAGTTGCCTAAGTTTTTAACCAGGCACAATTGTACCAAAGCATATTACATACCTAATATGTTTCTTGTGCTTTTCTTTTTCTCCTTAAGTAGATTCTGTTGTGAAACTTATGCTCTGAACTTAAATTTGTATTTCTTGTAGGAACTCCGTGATCTTATGTTTTCTTTAGATTGGATTAAAGCTAAAACAGAACTGGTAGGGCCTGCTCATCTGATTCATGAATATGTAGAATATAGTTCAATCCTGGATCAAAAGGTATGATACTAAAAGGTAAATGATCAGTCTGCTGCAAATACATTTTTTGTTTTGTAATTGCATTTTATTTGGTGTATGTATATATGGGAGATACACAGAAGGCTTAAAAAAACTGAAAACATAAAAACAGTGCTAAGTTAAACTTTGACTTGGAGAAGAGAAAAATGAAGAAAACTTAGTTTTTAGTTTTAGTTGTAACTTCAGTGTGTGCCCAAGTAATTGACCATGGAACTCAATAACTGCAGTGAACAACAATACCTCAGGGTAGGTGCACATGGTACTCTGCTTTTGCGGAGGTGTAGAATTTTGTCGACCACTTGGAATAGTTTTTCTGATATTTCACATTGACTGTTTCTTCAATCACTGCAGCCAATATCCTTTATTTGGAAAAAAAGGATAATATACTTTCCTGAATGGGATAATGGAATATTTCTGTCTGTTGTATGTACTTGTTAATAGAACTAAATAGAAAAGTAGAACTGCTTCTGTAAGAATATTAGCTGTATAGAAAATTAAAAAGCAAAGGGCACTTAGGAAATAAATCCACTTTCTATGTCATCAAATATTATCTGCTCTGTATATAGGATAGCGCAGTACGTGAGAACTTCCAGGAATTTCTGTCTTTAAATGGGCACCTTCTTGGACGGCAACCATTTCCTGACATTATACAGCTGGGGCTTTGCCAGCCGGAGACATCAGAGGTGTATCAACGAGCCAAGCTACAAGCTCAAAGAGAAACAGGAATGTTTTATTTGGAATGGATGTAAGTAGCTGCAGTTCATCTGCTGATAACACTGATCCCTTGATCCAAGGAAATAATTTAATGTACAACTAAATACAAAATATGGCTGATGTAAAGACATTTTTAAGAACTACTGCATTTTTTCTGGGGAGAGAAAGTGAAATAATTTTCAAGAACTTGTGGGAGGAGGGGAACTCTGGATACATAAGACCACAAATTATTAATAAATAAATATATATAAATAAATAGAGGAATATATTTACTTCTGTACTCCATGATTGTTCATTTTGAGTAACTATACAAAGATGAAAATAAGATACTTTGAAACTTATCTAAATTTTTTTTTTTGAAAAAAATTGTAGTGGAAGCTTTTGGTATGTTACAATACGTTTTTAGGTTTTCTAGTAAAATGTACACTTTAAAAAGGAGAGCGTTTGTGTTAACTTGCAAAGTTTTTGAAAGTAGTGAGATGGGAAATACTAAAAGGCTTTGTAATCTCTATGCAATCTTGAAATTTCTCCTATTTAAATAATTCTTTGCTGTTTTCATATTTTTGGAAGTTATTTAAGGAAAAAGTGTACATACCTAAACATTTTTCCAGTGCAGTCCAGTTGCCATCTGACCACGTAACTGCCTCTGTTAGATTCTTCTGTTTGATGTTTCTGTTTGAATATCTCCAGTACTTGGTGGTTACAAAACAGAATGACTATGTCAGGTAATTATGGCAATAACCAGGCAGGTTAATCCAGGCATACTTGAATTCAGGTCTTCTCTTTGAATTTTTTATTATTTCATTTTGTGTAGCTACAGAATTCTAACAAAAATGCTTGGAAGTTGCACAATTCAAGAAGAGTCACTCTTGAGGTAGTTCAGGGCTTTGACCTTGGATGTGGGAGACTTATGCTGAAGAATGTGTCTGAAATGAACAGAACAGACACAGATGTTTTTGTCTGCCATCCTAGGGCAGGGTTCTAAAAATGGTTTGTAGGATGTGTAGGCAAATACGCTGCCCTCCTGACCAGCAATTTTAGTTTTATTAAAGTATGCAAAAAAAAAAGTTGGCTTAGATGAGTCTGTATTTTGCAGTGAAAGATTGCTGTTATTCTATGGTGCACCTACTTTGAGATGGTTTACCCATTATTTAAATGCTAAGATGAAGATTCAAATTGGTAATGATAAAAAATTGAAGTACATCGATTCATTTTGACTCTAGAAAAATAATTAATCTTGTAACAATCTATTCATCACCAAAGATCATCTAATTGCAGTGACAGCTTTCTGTATTAAGATCTAGCTAAACAGGGTGATTGATTGCTACAAATTCCAAGTTTTTGTTGAAGTGAGGCAAGAGTCATCTAAGGTGTGTTAGATTCTGTACCTAATCTCTGATTGAAATGCAATGATAGTCATAGATTTTATTTAAATATCTAGTGATAAGAATTGAGTCGTTGCTGTGAAAACTAAGATCTAAACAAATTTACAAATGTTTTTGAATAAGCTTGAAAAGGAACATACAGGAGAACAAGAACTCTCAGGGAGAAATTTATATTTGGAAATAACACATATCAGGTCATAAAAATGTCACTAGGAAGGCTTTGTCTTGAAGTGCAACAGCTTTGCCCCTAAAGTGGCGTGTTAATTACTCATGTGCATGTTATCTTTCTTGATCTCTAATCTGTAACTATTGGAGGGCAATAACATCTCTGAGTGAATGTTGGAATTTGTGTTTCCCTTATTACTTCAGCATAAAGGCTGAGAGGTGAGGTATATTGGGTGGGTGGGTTGGTTGGTTGGTTGTTACAAAGCTTGCTGCTCAAGGTGTGTGAAAAAGTATTGTCTTTTTATAGAGTATTTTGAAGAATAAAAAGGCACTAGGAAATCCTACTCATCTAAAATCAACTGTTTTACCCTGTAGAAATAAAAAATCCTTGAAAAACCTCTACCGTCTGGTTGTTCGTCCACATAGAGATGCAGTCTACCATGCCTGCTTTTCAAAGGACAGACAAAGAATAGCATCATGTGGAGCTGATAAAACGCTTCAGGTAAGATACCTACGTGTGAGTGAAAAGAGATGCTGTGTACCATGTTGATAACATTTGTTAACAGTCTTGTTGCTTTTCTTTTGCTGTTATGTGGAGATTTTAGGGATCTAAACCACATTGGAGACAAATGATTGAAAATGGGTATATTATTACATAAACAAGTTGAGTGTTTAGAATAGTAAGCATTATCTTCTAGTTTGAAAGCTGAATGGTGTGGTTTCAGGGTTTATACCCTCACCACTGTAATACGTGAGCATGAGGTGCCTTTTAATGATACAGGAAGGCTCACAGCCTAAGTTTTGCCCTCAGCATATTTTGTATTCGCTTGCAAAAATGTTATATCCAGTCACAGTAAACCACCTACAGAACTGAGAAACAGTAAGATGTTTTAGTTACAGCTTTACTATTTCTATGGGATGGTAATGGACATTATGCTACCTTGGTGCTTAGTTAGTGAATTGTCTTATGCAAAAGAAGTAGATTGGGGGAGAAAAACGAACCCCTGAAGTTGAGGACAGTATTAGGTTGGAAACGGGCCCAAAGGGCTTAGGAGGTAGATTAGGGGAGAGAGAGAGGAAAGTCACTAATGTAAATTTGCCAGCAGTCTGCCTGGAGGGGAGCCAGCCAGCTCTCAAGAAAACTAACAGTCAGCCAGCCAGTAACCTGGTAAAGTATCCATATTCCAGACAGCCAAAGGTAAGGGAAAAGAACAACTTCTCTGCAAGCCTTTGGTATTGTTTTGGATGCTTGATAAGTTGAGTACTGAAGTAATAATATTAGTGGTGCTTAGTTGCTGTTCATTTGGCTACTTAATGTGTTGTTATCGTGGTTTTATTTATTTATTTTATTTGCTGGCTTCTACAATATTGTGATCATAGCATCCACTGAAGGAGATGCCTGGTGGATGCACTCATTTTATGCTATGCTGAAGTTACTGTGCTGGGCTTCTGTACTTAATGGCCTCATTATTGAGACTGCAGATCGCTTATTTTTCTCTTCATTTTCTACCCCAAAAAAAGTAAAATCCGTGGATTGCAATTGCATTTAAACTAAACTTTTGTTGAAGAAGTAATAGGAAAATTAGCAATAATCTTTTTTTCATTGTTTAACTTTGAACTTATTCATGTTTTTTCTAATAGTGGCCAAAGCTTTTCAGTTTTAAAGGCTACTTCTACTGTTTCTGTCATATTAAAAAAAATAATGATTGCTGGATTAAGAACAGATATTTTGCAGAATTTGCTGTAAATTTAGATTTCCTGTTACTTCAGTATTTGTGTTCTTATTTCAACAAATACCAACCATTTCATTGTTGTTGATACTCCCACTCAATGAAAAAGTAAAGGAAAAAATGGGGACTTCACAATTGTAGTATCCTGAACACTGCTGTAAAGAACACCTTGTGATTTGTTTTAATAATTAAGAATATGAAACCTAAGGAGGAAAGGGAGACCTGATTCCCCCCTTCCCCACTGTAAAGTTAAATCCCAGAATTTTGGGAAATTAATTAATATGTGACACTTTTCCCCAACTGTCCTTTTATTGCCTGTGACTGCTCAAGACTGAGACTTGTGTCGTCTTTTTTCTTGTTTGTTCCCCAGATCGTCAGCTGGCGCTGAAATTCTTACTTTCTGCGGCAGGATGCCACACACATATAAATCTGGAATTTCTAGTGTTTTGCAGTTACTATTAAAAAATACTGAGAAAGGACAGTGATTTAGTCTTAGAGTGAGAGTAGAAAAAGTCGTTAGTGAAACACACATCGCATACAGAAATCTTATTTGAAAGCAGTTTTCACTATTTCTCTCCCTAACAATTTCTATCATCCATACAAAATTGAAGCTCAAATTAAATATCTTTAGAATTATTATTATATTCATTTCCCTGAAATTATAAATGCTTTCAAAAGTAAACCAATTTTATGAAGAGCTGTTTGAGAGAAAACAGACTTATATTCGTGTTTTAAAGTTGTATGTGAGTTACAAGATTTTATTTTTTGTTGTTTTAGGTGTTTAAAACAGAAAGTGGAGAGAGACTGCTGGAGATAAGTGCCCATGATGATGAAATACTTTGTTGCGCTTTCTCTGCAGATGGTGAATTTGTAGCAACTTGTTCAGCTGATAAAAAAGTTAAGGTAAGGAAATGGAGAGCACTCAATTTTTTTTTCAAATTCATAATTCTAATTTCAGTTTTAACAAACTCAGGCAGAGCAGATTCTTGGTACTAAAGGGTTTTTTAACTGTCTTAAATCTTATGTGAATAATTCACTTAACAAGCAGACAAGCCCCACTTGTTACATAAGTAAAAGATGCTTAGTATTAATGTCATACTTACAGAATTACCACTTATTTTGATTGTATTATCAGGTGATTCTAAGTGGAACATAATGTGAGTTCAGTCCTATCCATAACATGAGACGAATGTATCGATAATTATTTTTTTTTTCCTGTTACTTGTGAATTATTTGGAATATTTAATTCCTCAGTATTGTAGCAAAACCTTGGTGAAATTCCTGTATTTATCAGATTCTAATCTGAATTATGACCTGTCCCCTCATAACTTCTTGTTTCTAATTATAAATATATATGCTTTATCTTCAAAACATTTTTTGAGGTGTTAACTGGTTTAGGGCTTTATCTGTATTTCAGCATACTTTACAGATTTTTTTTTTTTTAAATGAAGTACTTTAAATGTATTTGAAAGGCTTTTTCGTCCTTCAATTCTGCCTAGATCTGGAACTCGAGAACAGGCCAGTGTCGGTGGGTATATGAAGAACACTCAGAGCAAGTCAATTGCTGCCAGTTCAATAACAGAAGTGGTCAGTATCTTTTAGCCACCTGCTCCAATGACACTTTCATCAAAGTAAGTGGAAAAGGTTGAGATTATTCTCATTCTGCTTATCATAACGGGATAATTCTTGATGTATAAATATATTTAAACACTATAAATCAAGATTTTTTTAATGAGCCTGGTAGAAGAGAGGTGGCAACAGATTAAGAGTAGTGACTGCAGCTCAGTAATTGGATTTCAACAAGGCAGAACAGAAGGAGTGTTTATGCTCAGCGAATGTGAATGGGCAAGTCCTCTATTGTTAGGGCATGAAAATGTGAGGGCTTTGGCAAGATTTTTAAGACAATGGGATGGGAATGGGAGAATATGGGAGTGAAATACCTGGTTAAAAACAACATAAGAAAAACGAAAGCAGAAATTTAGGATTGAAAACGTTAATAAGGTAAAAAAAAAAAGGATGCTGAAAGATGAAAAGAATAGGATTATGGAAGTGTAGCAGGTACATTTTTTCATTAAATGGATTTGGCATACTAAAGAAATAAAGGTGGAAGCCAAAAAATAACATTAATCAAAGCAAGAGGTTTGTCAGGTTAACTAGCTGGCGCTGTCCAGATTGGGAGGCAGTATGTATACACAGAAAGAGCAGAAACTGGGCAACTGAGGTCTGCATCTGAGGGAAGGGGGAAACGATAAGAACCAAGTAAGACCTAGGCTGTGGCAAGTAAGAGTGCAATTTCACAGTACAGTTAAGCAAACCATATAGCTAACTGGCACTGAAGATGCCCTGGCTGTGTATTCTTGCTTCTCTTGCAGTGCGTGTGCTGATCTTATTCCACAATTCAAAGAGTCAACACAGCAAAAACTTCTGGTGGGACTGGTTTTCTGCTTGTTTAGTTCCCTGTGGTGGCTCAGTTGCCCAATTCCAGTGCAAGATAACTGTTGGGAGTAGATAGCAAGGAGTGAAATTGTTAGTGGGGGGAACAACTGTCACTTCCAGCTGTAGCTAGCAGGTGGTGTAATGGCAGTATCAAGTCTCATCTGAAGAGTTCTCACAAGAGCTTGTGTTGGTGTAAACTGGGGGTAAAATACAGTTACAATCTGGTGTCAAGGTGGAAAGAAGAGGCTTTCATGCTGACTTCCTGGATGTCTCAGGAGATACGTTTGCTGTCTGAGACTGACACCTTGGAACAGGTAGATTTAGAAGGGACTTGTTTAAAATGACCATTTTTATACTCTAAATGTGGTTAAAATTTTAGACAGTGTTTGACGCTTGCATGAGTAATGAATATCAGAAGTATGCACAATAATTAAAAGGGCCTGATTTTTTTTTGGAGAACACCGTACAAATGACTGTTCTTGTTTTGAGCTCTCACTTCAATGCATGATTTTTTATTTTTTTTTTTTAATATAGGAGAGGGGGAAGAAATTTGGAAAAGGAGAAAGAAAGTGTGGGCTATAGGCTTGAAAAACAGTGTGTGTGTGAGCCCTAAACAAAAAACCATATGGAATGTTCTTTTAACTTTGAAGTATGGATGTGGCAAGGATGCTATTCAGACTGTCAAAGACTAACCTGAGAGATTTCATTTTTGTTATTATGTGTAAGCTACTTATTTCTGAACATCAAAATTGAAAGAGGGAAAGAGGCAAGGGGGAGCTTTTTCCTCCATCTGAGGAAACTTTGAGTAGCTTTGTGCTGGACAAGGGCCTTGTCTGTGCTGTATAGGAAGTTTAACTAGTTCTGTGTAGTTCTGATGTTAATAGCTTTCATGCACGTTAGCCGATGGAGGTAAATTGTGGGGTAGCCCGGGGCATAGCATTGGGTCCATGAGCATGTGAGTAAAACTGAACAAAAAATAAAATTGAGGTTTTGATTGCCAATGCATGATGTGAGAACAGCATGAACAATCTGTCCTTGAAGAATTCATGAATATGATGATATTTATATGTTTATTTTTCATGCAGCTTTGGGATTTGAAAAAAAAGTATTGTAGAAATACAATGATTGGTCATGAAAATTCTGTCAATCACTGCAGATTTTCACCAAATGATGACTATGTTGCTAGCTGCTCAACAGATGGAACAGTAAAGGTACACAGTGTGTTTTTTAAATCAACTGTTTTGATGACAGATTTTTTCTTTTTTTTTGTGTAAAATGCAAAGTATGTATAAGAAAACCTTGATCTGCACAATCAGCTTTAATGAAGGAAAATTGTGGTGGAGGAAACAGAAATATTCAGTAGATTTTTGGCAGGTCCCTCAATGAAACTGAGGGGCAAAACTAGATGTATACCAGATTTCTCATGGCAAGGGGACTTTTAATAGAGTTGCAGAGCAGGTATTAGGTTTTTTTCTTGATTCTTTTGTTAAATAGAAGTTGAGACAGCATTTTGGGTGGAAAGGTGTGAGGGAAAAACGCAGGGAGAGGGTTCTGCTACAGCATAATCCTTTTTGTGTGTTGGTTGGTTTGGTTGGTTTGTTTAGTGGGGTTCTTTGGGGTTTTTTTTGTGGTGTTGTTTTTTTTTCTTTTTGTCTAACCCTTCTGGGCTTGTGAATATTCTGATGCTACTTCTTGGCAGGGGAAAGTAGCAAAGGCTTTTTTGTATTCTAGCCCCTGGGGCCTGCCTTTCTTAGACGTGATTGGGAGTTAGCTCGCCCCTGTTGTGTTCTGTATCTACATCAGTAAAAAGCGGTTTTGTGTATTTCCTTTACTTTTTATTGCAGCTTTGGGAAGCACGCTCAGCAAATGAACTGAAAAGTATTGAGATAAAAGATTTCTTCAGAAATGCAGATGAGCAGCCAGATGATGTGGAGGTTTTAGTAAAATGTTGCTCTTGGTCCAGAAATGGTGACATGATTTTGGTGGTAGCCAAAAATAAGCTTTTGGTAAGTACCTCACTTTAATAATTTTCTGGAGGTAATATATTACAATGTAGGTAGAAATTATGATTAAAGATAAAATTCCAGGACATTAAGATGTTTCAGAAATAAGGTATAGGGTTTCAAGTGTGTATAAAGTAAAAATATCTGGGCAACAAACCTGTTGACCGAGAGAAATCCCTTCTAAATTCAAGAATGTACATTGTTGAGCCTATAAGCTATTTGTCTCTAGTGAAGTCATTCAAACTGGGTGCTAACTATTGTAATTATGTGTTCACAGCTTTTTGATGTTAAAACATGTGATTTGTTATCGCAAGTTGTCATAAGTCATCACAGTACAATCCAATACTGTGACTTTTGTCCTGGTGATGAGTTAGTAGCAGTTGCTTTGTCTCACTGTTCTGTTGAGGTAAGTGATTGTCCTTGCTCTACAGTGTATGAGGAAAGACTACTTGTAATATAAAATCTTAAGATTTTACTGTATGCTGAGGTAAAAACTAATGTAGCTATTTTAGCAGGCTTTCAACATGCTTCATTCTTTTTAATTTTCATTCGCTTCGGAAGTGTAAAATATCAATTGGGAAATAATGTGTTAAAGTTAGACGTTCATTTTGGATGACAGAACTCACGTTTATATAAAAAGACTAGTCTACTAAATATATTTAGAGTTACTGTTGTCACTTTCAGGAGCGTTGCTTAACTCAAAGCAAACCAAACCCTCTATCCTTCTATATGCTGCTACAGAATGTAGCAACTCACTAAAAAGGAATGAAACAGCTGGAATAACTTTGGGACTAGCATGGCTAGAGTAAGCCTGTACAAGTATCAGTTTCGGGGTTGTTTTTTTTGTTCTTTGGAGTTTCTTTGGTTTTGAATCTACATGGTCAAGTTGAACTTGTATAAAAAAAAAAGTTATACTGTGAGTGATTTTTTTTTTTTTTTCTTTCCTCTTCCCCCGCTGTCCCCGTCTGTTAAAATTATAGCAGTCAAAGAGGCTGCTGATTCAATTTCCCTGACCATCGAAATGTGATACACAGACACAGTTCTTGATACGTCTGATTTCAGAATGGGAAGTAAGAAAATACTAGAAGAAATAGTAATTAAGTATGCTGCTTCTTGTTTTGCACTGTTTTCTCTGTAAATGCAATCTAAACCCATTTGAGTTCTTTCTTCATATTTTTATTGTAGTTATGGAATATTAAATCTTTATCAAAAGTGGCATATTGCAGAGGTCACATGAGCTGGGTTCACTGTGTGACTTTTTCTCCAGATGGATCTTTATTTCTGACATCATCTGATGACCAGACAATACGTGTAAGATGACATCTTTCTTTTTTGGAAAATGTGAATATATATATA